TTATCATCCTCCTCATCATCAGGATCAGCATCATCATCATCATCATCATCATCATCATCAGCATCATCACCAGCATCATATCCCTCACCAGTATCATCAGTATCATCAGCATCGTCATCATCCTGTTCATCATGGTCATCATCACCATCATCATCATCATCATCAGCATCACCATCATCATCATCAGCATCATCATCAACATAACCATCACTATCACCATCACCACCAGCACCACCATCACATTATCATCATCAGCATCATCATCATCATCATCATCGACACCAGCACCACTAGCACAATCATCATCATCATCCTCCTCCTCAGCATCATCAGCATCATCATCATCATCATCGCCATCGCTATCGTCATCACCATCGTCATCGTCATCGTCATCGTCATCGTCATCGTCAGCGTCAGCGTCAGCGTCATCATCAACATCATCAACATCATCATCAGCATCATCACCACCTCCATCATTACCTTTATCAGCATCAACGGGAGCCAGCAGCCCAGAGGATGTATCGGGCGCCGCGGCAATTCCGGAGGTTCTGGAAAGTTTGGGATGATCCATGCCCTGAGGACTGCCGATCCCAAGAGAGACCTTGAAGATCGCTGCTGAAATCCAATGCGTTAGCAAAGAGATCCAGAGCGCTCTGCGAGCGTTCTGGAACGCTCTCTACCGATTTCGCACTGTCCCACGGCCTGCCCGAAGCCCACGAAATACACCATAGATTGCTGTTTGTCCCCCAAGCCGTGCCTGCCCTGAGGGCCTGAGGGGTCTCACTGATATCACTAAGGAAGTGGATGGGCCCGGCGAGGTCCCGCAGCGTTGCCGCCCGCGGCCGCCTCTAGCTGGCACCACGTCCACTGAACCACAGAGCTTCCACCACGGCGTGCACCTCATAGATCACACATCCGCAGAGCAATAATCTACTGTGTGGGGTCCACGCAGGCTAACTTTACTTCTTAAGCAACTTTACACATCAGACATCTGGGCGAACGTGCCGCCTGTTGCCAAAAACAGCTGCACCACCGACCTACCCGCGCGCGCGGCCCCCCTCCTCCTCCTCCCAAGACCCTCCTCCTCCCCCTCCTCCTCCTCCTCCTCCTCCTCCTCCTCAAACTTTTCCTCCCCCCGTCCTCGTCCCCGTCCCCCTTTTCCCTCTCCACCCCCCTCTCTCCTCCGTCCCCCTCCTCCTCCACCTCCTCCGTCCTCGACGGTCACGTCGCGCTCTGGGCGCCACCCGTCGAACACGCCGACAGAAAAGCTGGTGAGAGGCGGGAGCCCACGGGCAGCGCGGCGGAGCGCACAGGACACAAGGATGAAAGGCACAAAACGCCTAGAGCCCACCTCCTCCACCCTCCTCCTCCTCCTCCTCCTCCTCCCTCCTCCTCCTCCTCCTCCTCCTCCTCCTCCTCCTCCTCCTCCTCCTCCTCCTCCTCCTCCTCCTCCTCCTCCTCTATTCCTTCTCCTTATAAGTACCTTCTCTCTGTCGCACCCCGAGGCCAGTTTTTAGGGCGGGCCGGGCGTTTCGCCTGACATTTCCTCACCACTTACGACCCTGAAGCGTGAACATTGGCAACAGTTTCGCAGATGGAGGGCGGGTGGTTCTAAACATGTGGCGCTCGCCCGTGCGCCGCGCACTTTCGTTCTAAAAGTGAACACGAGCTTCACGGACTGAGGGCGACTGGTTTTCAACGTGTTGCTCTCGCCTGAGCGCCGCGCGCATTCGTTAAGAAATTGCAAGAGCTTCGCGAATTGAGGGCGGTTCCTCTTCAAAATGTTGCTCTCGCGTGAAAGCCACACACACTCGTTTTAAAAATGCAAAAGCTTCACGGATCGAGGGTTGCTCCTTTGCACAATGTAGTTCTCGCCTTAGCGCCGCGTACATTCGTTTTACACATTTGCAAAAGCTTCACGGATTGAGGGTGGTTCCTTTGTAAAATGTGGCTCGCGCCGCAGCACCGCGCGAATTCGTTGCAATATTTACCAAATTCTCACGAGCTCCCATGATCAGCGTACCAGAAGTAGCGTTTGGGAAAGATTCACGATTACGCGGGTGCAACAGTTACGTTGCCTCGCGGTGTGAGCTCCCAGGATCGGCGTTCTGGCACGACTCAGGCCCGTCAAGACGCGAGAGTAAGGTTGATCCGCGGCGTTGGAATCCCGAGAATAATGTTTTGGCATGCTTCATGATCTTTAAACGGTTGCATTTCGACCACGCAGTTCCCTCAGTGGAGATGAACGTTGCAGGAGCCTGCGAAGAAGGAACTTGGAGGGAGGGTTTATTCCAACCTCGAATATGATTCTTGGGTTTACACCAGTCCTCCTCCTCCTAATCCTCCTCCGCCTCCGCATCATCATCATCCTTCTTTCCCTGCCCTCCTTTTTCCGACGACGACGACGACTCAAATGACGACGACGACGACGACGACGACGACGACGACGACGACGACGACGACGACGACGACTTCGTGCGGCCCTGCAGCGCCGCGGACGGGGGCTCGAAGCAGCATGCCGGGCACCATCGCGGGTTGCCCCAACTGTCGGGCAGCGGGTACCTTGCGAGGGGGCGGCCAGAGGGATGAGGATGAGGTGAGTGGGGAGGGAAAAGGGGGGTGAGGAGAAGGAGGATGAGGAGGGGAACAAAAAAGGAGGAGGGGGAGGAGGGGGAAGAGGAGGAGGAGGAGGAGGAGGAGGAGGAGAAGACAAGGCAAGGCAAGGCAAGGCAAGGCAAGGAAAGGCAAAGCAAGGCAAAGCAAGGAAAAGCATGGCAAGGCATGGCAAGGCAGTGCAAGGCAAGGCGGGGCGAGAAGAGACGGGAGCAGCTGGTGTCTCCTGAATTTTCGGCTCACCATTTCTGGGTGACAACTCATGAAAGCCATGACACACTACTGCTGGCATGATCAACGCGCAACTCGGGCAAGCCTGCGGGATTCAATCGTTGGGAGACAGACGGGGCGTGCATGGCCCAGTGGCGCCCCTGTGTGACAGCCGAGGCCCCCGCAAGTTGGGCAGGGAAGCCTGGATGGCACCGCCGCTGAACTATGGCGGTCGCCTCTCCCTGCAGAAGGGGAGAGAGGGCCGCCTGCGGCCCATCGGTTCCCCCAGCCTCTTGGGAGTGGGGGGCACCTCGCCAGTACCTCGGGCGCCGTCTGAGCAAGCGGGGCTGGATGGAAGGAAGAGGTCGGCGTAGATTCCCCTAGCGCTCGCCGTCGCACGTCGGTTCCCCCAGCCTCTTGGGAGTGGGGGGCACCTCGCCGGCACCTCGGGCGCTGCCTGAGCAAGCGGGGCTGCATGGGAGGAGGAGGAGGTAGGCGTAGATTCCCCCAGCGCTCGCCGCCGCACTCCCTCCCCACGGGCGAGACAAGCAAGAGAGGCAGAGGCCCTGCACCATGCGCGCACGAGCAGACGCCTGCCGCGCTGCCCTGCCTGGGGGGGGGCCGGGCTCCCCCAACGGTGGTCGCTGGCTGCCGCCGCGCCGCCTCCGTGACAGTGACGCGGGGGGCGGCTTGGCGGTGATGATTGTCCTGGAGGCGTCTCCGTGCTCGGGATAGGCTATCCCCCGCGGTGATCGGGGATCTGCTAACCCGGGTCAATCAGACCCGGGCCAGCAGGAATTCAAAAAACTGGAATGCAGGACAACAAACTGCAACGCAGGGCTTCGCAAAACCCGGGTCAGCCAATATGCGCGGCCGCCTCGCGGCCACGAGCGGCTCACCAACCCCGGGTCAGCCAGAGGGGGTCTTCTCAGGATCCTGCAGGATCCGGTGCCCTGGCTGACCCCGGTTGCATTGACCCCCGTCTCAAGGCTCCCGAGGTGACAGAGTTGGAACCGTTTCCGCGACACTTGCTCGGGGCAGTTCGGCGGCCGCTGGTGCCGCGGACGCGGCGCGGCTTCGTGCCGGGTGCCCACCTCCTCCAGCGGGCCCCTCCCTCGCCTTCCCGGGGCGGGGGCCCCACTGTGGAGGCCCTGCGGTCTCCCTGGTGCCCCCCTCGCCGCCTCTGGAACAGTCGCAGAGGAAAGCGTGGCCGACAATGACGACGACAACGACGACGACGACGACGACGACGACGACGACAACGACGACGACGACGACGACGACGACGACGAATGGACGCGACAACGACGACGACGACGACGACGACGACGACGAGGACGACGACGACGACGACGACGACGACGACGACGACGACGACGACGGCGGCGGCGGCGACGACGACGACGACAAGGACGACGCCGACGACGCCGACCCGGTCTTCTTCCCGCACTTCCGCCCCCCCCGCGCAGCCCAGCGAGGGGCCCAGCCCAGCCCGTACGCAGCTGCGCGCGGCGCGGGGCTCTGTGGCCCTCCCCTCGCGCGGTGCGCGCCGCAGCATGCTCAGAGGCGACGATAGGGGCGAATAGTCCAGGGGAGAGCAATACACGTGTATTCAGAGGCGCCGATGAGCCATGTCTTCGGCAAGGCTCCCGGGCGAATGCGTGCGAGGCCCGCCCCTGGGCTCTTCACCCCTGTCGCCGCCGCCGACATGCCGGCGACGACCCGAAACGGGTCTCACGCGGGCAGCCTGCGCGCCGAGCTCACGCGGGCAGCCTGCGCGCCGACGTCGGTGCAGACGACCCCGCATGCCCGCGTCGCTCACGCCTGGCGTGCGGGCCCCCAAAGGGCGCACGATCGGCGCGAGGGGTGCGCCCCGAACGGCGCGGGGGGGGGGGGCGGAGTGCGCGAGCGTCCGCGGGGGCCGCAGGTGGAGCTCCCCGTGGGAGGGGGGGCGGCGCGACCCGCGCGGGGGGGTGCGCCGAAGTGGGCGCGGTGCCGCGAGGTGCGCGCGAGGCGGGCGCGCGCCTGCAGGGGGCACGATCCGCGCGAGGGGTGCGCCGAAAGGGGCGCGGGGAGGGCAGGGGGCAGGGAGAGGACGCGACGGAGAGGGGCAGGTTGGTGTGTTATGCTTCTGTGGGCGTGGGCCAGGGTCAAGCGCCAGCTCCCTGGCACCTGCAGCCGCAGGAGGCGACGAAGGGGGACCAACGAAGGGCCCCCTCCTCCTCCTCCTCCTCCTCCTCCTCCTCCTCCTCCTCCTCCTCCTCCTCCTCTGGCCAGGGACCGACCACGAGCGGAGGGACTGGCCGTGGAAGCGAGGCCCGAAACCACGCAGGGGCACGAAAGCAACCGAGCAGCACAGGCTCAGGCAGTGCAACAACTGCCCGCAGCAGGCAGCTGGTGAAGTCGCCTGGCTGCTGTAAGCAAGGAGATGTCCTTGTAGTCGCCTCAACTTCTCTTCGGCTTTTTTTTAAGCGCAGCAGCGTTCTTCGACGAGGGGCTAACAACACAGGAGGGTTGGGAATAATCAGGGACACACCGAATGCAGAACCCCTCGCCTCCCCGAGCAGTGACTACCACGACCACGAGGCCGACCGCACCACGAGGACGAGGACGAGGACGAGGACGAGGAGGAGGAGGACGACGACGACGACGACGACGACGAGGACGACGGCAGCAACGGCGGGCGGCGACGACGGCCCGGGCCGCCTGATGGCCGTGAGGCCGACGCCGCTGCGGAGGGAGTCCGTGAGGCACCCCGCCGTGATGTACTTGTGGCAGAGGTCCGAGCCTCGGCCACGGGCCGCCGGAGGACGGCGACGACGACGACGACGACGTCGACGACGACGACGACGAAGGCGCGAGGGACGACAGCGCGAGGTCCGACGGAGGCCGCGCCGGCCAGCACGCACACCGCGCGGCCGGGGAGGCCACGCGAGGGGGGGGCGAGAGCGGGGCGGGGGGGAAGCCTCGACCACCAGCCGACGCCCCCCCTCCTGAACTCTTCGAGCGCCGCCGAGGCCCGGAGTGGTGTCCAGAAAGGGGGCGCCTCGTTGAGGGCGCTCCGGGGCGGCCCGAACCTTCCCAAACGGCCACTGGGGGGCCTACGAACGTCAAAATCTCCGACGATCCTCCTCCTCCTCCTCCTCCTCCTCCCCTCCTCCTCCTCCTCTCCTCCTCCTCCTCCTCCTCCTCCTCCTCCTCCTCCTCCTCCTCCTCCTCCTCCTCCTCCTCCTCCTCCTCCTCCTCCTCCTCCTCCTCCTCCTCCTCCTACGGCCCGAATGCTACATCTCCGACGAGCTGAATCTCCGACGATCTCGGCCCTCGGGGGAGTCGCTCTGGGGCGCCCGAGGGGCAGCAAGAGCGGCTCCGAGGCAGAAGATTGTCCCAGAGGAACAGGAAGCGAGAGCTCTGGGGGGCGCGGACTGACATGAGCCTGGCGCGACGTCGACCGAGGGAAAGCTTCCTGTTGCATAGGTGCATTGCTTAGCATTGCCTAGCGCTGCTTGGTGTTGCTTGGCGTTGGCTCACATTGCTTGGCGTTGCTTCCTGTTGCTTGGCGTTGATCAAGCAGCACGGGGAATCCTGTAATTAAGGAAACGATCAAGCAACTCGAGGAACGCACAACAAAGAAGCAAGACCAAGGAACCCCGAGGAATGCACAGTAAGGACCAAGTAGCCCGAGGAACGCACAGCAAAGAAGCAAGACCAAGGAACCCCGAGGAATATGAGCCCGAGGAACACACAGCAGGGAAACAAGACAAAGGAACCCTGGGGAAGGCACGGCAAGGGAACAAGAGCAGGGAGCCCCGAGGAACACACAGTAAGGGAACCCGACCAGAAGGGCCCCGAGGAACGCACGGCAGAGGAACAGAAGGCCAGGGAGCCGGAGGGGCACCGGCGCAGCCCAAAGCACCCACTGGCTCCTCAAACATACGTAAAGACTCCCTCGGGCAAAGCCGGTGTGCCCTCCTTGCAGGCGAACGTCCGACTGCACGGTTTCCCCTGGGGCCGTAGGCGACCCGAGGAGGAGGAGAAGGTGGAGGAGGAGGAGGAGGAGGAGGAGGAGGAGGAGGAGGAGGAGGAGGAGGAGGAGGTAGAGGATGACGAGGGGGAGGAGGAGGAGGTGAAGGAGGAGGAGGAGGAGGAGGAGGAGGAGGAGGAGATGGACGAGGAAGAGGAGGAGGAGGAAGTGGAGGAGGAGGTGGAGGTAGGTGGAGGAGGAGGACGGGTCGCCTAAGCCCTTCGGCGATACCCTCCACGCCCGACCAGAGCAGGAAGCACAGCCACATTTCAGTAGGATCGGTGCCCCAGCGGCACGGCCAGCCAGCGCCCGCCACCGAGCAACCACAAGGGCGCCCAAGAGCGCGCGCGTCGCCCCCCGGGGATGCAGACGCACGCGCACGCGCAGTAGAGGCGCAACAGAGCGATGCACCACAGCGACGAACCTGAAAGCGCCAACAACAACTGCCCCAACAAAAATGCCAAAACAACGTGGCGTGTTTTTGGGGGCGTTTTCAGCCCGTCACGAGCCCAAGCTAGAAAACGCTAACATAAACGCCCAGGGCGTCTTCAAGATGAACCAAGATGTCTGGGCGATGCCGAGCTCACACCGGCCGACGTCAGGCTCCACACGTGGCCTGGATGGCTCTTCCGGAAGGTTCAGCCCACCCGTCGGTCGGAAGAAGCGGGTAGAAACATGAAGTAGGACGGCGCTGGAAGTAGATTGGATCTCCGCCCGCCCCCTGAAGGACGGAAGAGGAAAAACCGTTTAAGGATATTGTTGTTTGAGCTCTAGCTTGAGGGAACGAACGTCCAAGAGCATTCCTTTTCGTTGTAGTGTTGATGAGCGGAGGAAGACACGCGGTGACCCAGCGCACGGCATCTCGCTCAGGAAAAGTAAAGCAGAAAACAAAACCAACCGAAAAAAGCCAGGCGGCGCCCGCCCTGCACAGAACACCAACATTACTTGCGACCGCAGGCGCGTGATGCGGGTGCGTTGCGGAGGGTCTCAACTGAGTTCGCGTCCTCCCTGTCCTCGTCCGACTCAAGTTGCACCATCTGCTCAGAACAAGGAAACGAATCGCGACAGCGTCGCCCCCGCGAGCACTGGGCGAATTGGCGCGCGCCCCCTTCCTAGGAGCAGGCTGCACATCGGACGCTGCTCAAATCAACGCCCAGCGTGATCGCATTCGATGCGCACCACCCCCTCGCTGCGCAGCATGTCCAATATTGCCTGCTCCAGATCGCCCTCACTGGAGTGCGGCGTGAAGCGGACAACCCGAACACCAGATGATGCTGCCAACCATCTGTCGCGCTTCTTATCGATGGCCCTCTGCCGGGGCGACAAGTGATAGGCTTCATCTATTTCAATGTTCACCAATCCTGTTGATGTCTTCACTGCCATGTCCAATTCGAATCCAGAAATATATCTGTTCCTCTTCACATATGGTACGTGTTTGGACACGATCTCGGCACAGTATGCTTCGATTCTAGACAGCGAGCTACCAGATGTGTTGCTGAGCATCCCCAATCTTTTTGCCTTGACCGTTTTTGCAAGAACATGCATTAATTTGTCAATCTCGGCAAGCGGCGGCAAATCAGCACGCACCATCGCCCACGCCAAGCAATGCATGTCAAGAGGCTCCAACACACTGATACGATTGAGGGCAGCACGCGCGATTGCGGAAAAAAGCTTGGCACTGTGTGGGCCCAGCTTGGCGAACGCCCACGCAATACTGGCAAGGCTCCGAGAACTGTACGAAGGCATCCTGCTCACAAGTTTCGAACAGACAACGTTGAACAAGTCAGTACTTTTGTATTGCACCTTTGCAAAAGCCCACACGATCACCACCAAACCCACTGAGCCAAATGCGGAGATGCTGCTCAACATCTCTGAACTGATGAAGCGAAACAACGTCGCATCCTTAAGCTGAACCGTTGCGAATGACCAAGCCAGAGTGCTCAAATCTTTCGCGCTCAACTCGCGCCTGGGGTGCCTGAGCTCCAGGGAGCAGAGACGGAAGAGATTAACGTTAGAAAAACTGAGGCGAGCAAAAGCCCACATAATCTTGAAAAGGTGCTGTGTTTCGAGTTGGTCGCGTATTCGTCCTGCCCGGTGAGCGATCGCATCGAACAATCTGCGATCGAAACACTCCACCCGAGCGTACGCCCAGGCAATGCTCGCCAGCTCTTGAGATGTGAAATTACCCATGCGCGCTAAACAACCCTCGGTGTTCGCCAAAAAGAAAAACTCATTGTAATGACGAAGCTTGGCGAACGCCCACGACGTTCGTGCTAGGTCTGTCGTGCTATGCTCGGCCGAGTACCTTCGAAACCGTGAAGATATCAAGCTGAGGAGCTCTGGGTGCTTGTGCTGCACTCTTGCGAACGCCCAGGCGACATTTACCATGTTGCGTGAGCTGAAGCGGTGAAGTAGCTTGATAGACGCATCCGCAGCGGCATCAAACAGAACGCTGCTGGTGTTGCTAGCTCTTGCTGAACTGTGTACAATCACCACCACCTGCGTAGCATTGCAAGTTTGCATCTGCACCACTGCCCGACTGTTCAAGCGGGTCCAAGTCTCCGCATCGTTCGCACCGAAGCGGGCAAACAACATATACAATGCTGCCAAGTCTCGCGCGCTGCAGTGGCCCAAAGACGCCACCGCCTCAGTGCGCAAGCGCTGGACATCTGGCCTCTCGCCCTTTTGTGGAAGTGCGATCCGATCCTGGCGCAAGGCTTCCAGAATCCTGTCTGTGATTCTTCCAGAAGGCAGAGGTGCCCGCGACGAGGCGTACATCAAGAGGTCCCTCAACTCGGCGGATGGCGCGCGCAGCCTCGCTGCCCAATCGATGTATGCAGGGTGATCCCTGCAGACCTTGTCATACGTCAGCCCTTTGTACTTCCCGAAGCACACCGTTTTTGCAGCACACGGGCCCGCATGGGGCAGCGAACGCTGCGAACATGTAGAAAACAATGCGCCGCGCGACGACAATGGCACCAACCCCACTGCAAAACCAATAGATCGGCCACCATAACGTGCAAAGCAATACACCATGAGCGTCTAGATCCCGCCGTAAGCCTAGCGCAAAGATGGCTACGGAGGGAAAACGTTTGACTCTTGAAGTCGGAGGGCGCCTAAAGTATATCGAAACCTGGGAATCCAAAAATACATAATTTCTGCGACTGGCGTCTAATATTTCGTCGTGCAGTTTCTGCTCAAGTTGTTTTGTTGTCCTGCCGTCCCTTCCGAGGGCCACATTGCCATAAAAATGTAAAACGGCATGGGTCGCGAGGCACAGGACACATGGGTGCCCTTGATCCGGCAGGGTCGACCTACTAATCTGGGCCGACTGTATTTTGTCGCGCAGACTCCGCTCACATTGTTTCTTGTTGTCCCGGAGGAGGAGGAGGAGGAAGAGGAGGAGGAGGAGGCGGAGGAGGAGGAGGGAGAGGAGGAGGAGGAGTCGTCCCTTCGAAGAGTGAACCATGCATCGCCGATGGATCGCCGGCAGGCCCTCGGCAGCGGGACCGCGCCCCCGAGCAAGCGGGCGTTGGCTTCACAACGGTGGTCCCGCGGCGGTCCCGTGGTTGTCCCGCGCTAGTCCCGATGGTTTCCCTGTGGTTGTCCCGCGGTTGTCCCGCAATTGCCCCGTGGGTGTCCCGCGTTGCCCCGTGGGTGTCCGGTGGATGTTCTGTGGCTGTCCCATGGCCGTCCCGTGGTCGTCCCGCGGTGGCCCCCCGTGGATGCCCAGCGGATGTCCTGGCGGTGTCCCGTCGTTGTCGCGTGGTTGCCGCGTGGTTCCCTGTAGTTTTTCCGTGGTTGTCCCGCCCAGAGATGCCTATAGGACAACCCTTCAGGTGACAAGGACCTTGGAATGGGATGGGAGAGCTTTCGACTTGCGGTTGGCGTCGGATCGGATTCGCTATTCATCAACCGATCGATATCGACCTCTTCCCATGTCTGCCCACACAATGTATAATTCGATCCCACGGTGTATACATGGCCGATTCCGGAAACCCTGAGCCCAAACATGTTTTCATCTCTTGGGGGCGCATTTTATGCTTCCGCCACCTTCCGCCGCCCTTCCGCCAGCTTCCGCCCGCGGAGGCGGCCTCGGCTTATTCCCGCCGACCATCCGCCGCATTCCGCGGCGGAAGAGGTGACAACTCCTTCGATCCCCGAGGGTAAGGCCATGTTTGGAACACCTCATATACACATATCCACCACCGTACCCCCTGGCGCTTTTGAGGTGTGGTAGCATGCCAAGTGATGCCTGGCAGCGTCTCCGTACACCCGGCCCGCATCATAAGCATGCGCGGTAAAAGGGTGCAAGGGCCTGAGACGGCCACGCCAACGTTTTTTTCGAACAGGGCTGGCCAGCGAGAGTTGCCAAGGATGGGCCGAAAGAGGCAAGGATGCAAGGGTACCCTTGGGAAGGCTGCCCATCCTCTCGGGTCGCCTCAAAAACGCCCAGGGCATTTTTTTAGCGTTTTCTACTTTGGGCTCTTGACAGGCTGAAAACGCTTAAACAAACGCTACGTTATTTAGCTTCTTTCAGGGCTGTTTTTGTTGGCGTGTGTTTTCTTTCTTTTTGAGCTTTCAAGCTGCAAGCGCTAAAACACTGGTCTGACAACACCCAAACAACGCATCATGTTGTTGGGGTTGTCACTTTCTTGTTGTTTGAAAACGCCAAAACAAATCATTCCCAAGACGCCGAGCCGAAAACGCTAAAACAACGGCCTGGGCAGATTCAAGGCGAACCGAGCCCATCCTTACTGTCCGGGCTGACCGCACCGCCCGTGGACCCGCCGGACCCCGCGAGGATTTCCAGGGGCGCGGGCGCGGGCGCAAGTCAGCCCGCAAACCCTGCACCACTACCATGCGCAGATCGGCATTTTTTTTTCGACGACGACCTATTGGCAACGACTATGGCAGGTTGGCTGGGGCGCCGCTTCTGGTTCTTTGGGGATCCTGTCCTTCGAATACTGGCCCCCCTCGTGGCAGAGAGCTTGGCACGGCACGTGGCGCAGATCGGCAATGATGAAAAATGCAACAGGGGGGTGGCCACGGTACGGTGCGTGTAGATCGTCCGCGGAGGTACGCAGTCTTCCAACGCCCTCCCCCCTCGCAGCTCAGACTGCAACGTGCACTGCCACTCTCCTCCCGGGGCGGCTGCCGGGGCGCCCCGATGCCTCCGCGGTGCCCTCCGAGGAGGTGCCCAAGCTGGCCTAGGACCAGAAAACACGTGGCAGAACCAGACGGGCAAATCGGGTGGGCGGGTCGGGAAGACGGACGGGCACAGGCGGCCAGGTCTAACAGGCGGGCTGCTGAAGCGTGCGTCCTGCATGAATCGCGAGGAAGTCTCGAGCGATAGCGCGATTCCCAAATAAATCGCGAGGAAAACCACAACGAAAGCGTGATTCCTGAGTGTCGAGGGCGTGGCGTCGGAATAAGTTGCGAGAAAGTTTCAGGCGACAGCGCGACTCCTGCATAAGTGTTGAGGAAATCCTGCGCGAGAGCGCGAGTTGGGAATAATTTGCGAGAAAGTATAAGGTCGGAGCCGTTGTTTTCGTATACCCGGGACCAACAACCCAATTCTGAGACCCAAGACCTTCCCTAATAAAAAACAGGGTGCGAGCCCTGGGAAGGGCATTTCAAGTAAACAAAACACCATGTGTCCCGAAGGTGTGGATCAACAACAACTTTTTAGACATGAGAATGCAACAACAATCCGCACCGCAGAACCTCATTTCAACTACGCGCCCAGGGACACCGTTCGGCGATATCTATGTATACACATATACATATATATATACACATAGGTATATGTGTGTGAATGTGTGTGTGAATGCGTGTATATGTGTGTGTGTGAATGTGCGACTGTGTGTGTGAGTGTGTGTGGTCGTGCTTGTGTTTGTGTGTCGCCGCGCCGTCTGTCCTCGACGCGCCCAAATGGACGACGCCGACACCGCGGCAAATTCACGGCCATCCCTGCGCCCTGCGCCCCAAATAGACGAGGCTGGCACCGCGGCAAACCCACGGCAAACCCACCGCGCCCGAGGCGGCGTTTGCCATGGTGGCCAAGGTGCCCTCCCCAAGACGGAAGGCCGCGCGTCGAAACAAACGGCGCGGCGACATACACACAAAGACACACACATATATATATATATATATATACACATATATGCTATATACACATACCTACCTACCTACCTACCTACCTACCTACCTACATACATACGTACGTACATACATACATACATACATACATACATACATACATACATACTTACAAACTTACTTACTTACTTACTTACTTACTTACTTACTTACTTACTTACTTGCATACATACATACATGCATACATACATACATCATACATACATCGAAGACTTCACTGGTGCTGCGGGGCGGGCGGAATGAGAGACAGAGGCAAATCAGGAAAACGGGGATAACTTCTTGTTACTGTTTTCGCCGTCGTCGTTAAGCAAACGTGTTTTCCGTCTCCTTCCCTCATATTTCCTCTGCCACCTCCTCCTCCTCCTCCTCCTCCTCCTCCTCCTGCCCCTCGTCCTCCCCCCTGCCCTCCCTCCCCCATCCTCCGCATCCTCCTCCTTCTTCTTCTTATTATTATTCTTCTCCCCTTCGTCCTCCTCCCTCCTCCCTACATCCTCCTGTTCCTCCCGCGTGTCTGCCTCCTCCTCCTCCTCCTTCTCCTTCCGCTCCTCCACGGATTTCCTTATGGATAACTCGTCCCGGTCGCACCCCGAGGCCGGTTGGAAGGGCGGACTGGGCGTTTCGCCTGAAACTGTAGCAACAGCTTGACACACGGCGGAAGGGCAGATTCCGAAAGGTGGCTCTCGCCTTCGCGCCGCGCACATCTGTTTTCAACATCTGCAAGAGTTTAACGTATTGAAGGCGAGCCGTTTTAAACATGTTGATATCGCATTCGCGCCGCGCACACTCGTCGTAAGAACTTGCTAAACAATCGCGGGGTGAGGGCGGTTTTTGTCCAACATGTGGCTCTGGCCTTAGCGCCGCGCACATTCGTCTTAACACTTTGTAAGGGTTTCATGGATTCCCCCATGTTCAGCGTACCAGAAATGGTGTATCGGAACGATTCAGGACTGTCAGGGCACAACAGTAAGATTGAGTCGCGATGTCGAAGTCCCAGCATCGTCAAGACGCAATTCAGGATCGTCAAGACGCAACAGTCAGGTTGATTCGTGTCGTTGAAGTGCAGAGAATGGTGCTTTGGCACGCTTCAAGATCTTCAAACGGTTGTCTCCCAAAGAGGCACATCCCTGTGGAAATGAATCCGTGCAGGGGCCTATAAAGAGGGAGCTTGGAGGGAAGGTTGAATCCAACATCGTTGATGAGCCTTGGGTTTACACTGCTCCTCCTCCTCCTCCTCCTCCTCCTCCTCCTCCTCCTCGTCCCCCTCCCCCTCCTCCTCCTCCTCCTCCTCCTCCTCCCCCCCGCCCTCCTCCCCCCCGCCCTCCTCCCCCCTTCTCCTCGCTCCCCCCTCCTCCGCCCCCCCGTCGAGGGCCCGCGAGGTGCCCCCCCGCGGCAGCCCCCTTTCCCCCCCCGCGACTGGCGGCCCGGGAGCGCACGCCGAGCTCCGAGCCCTTCTCCTGCAGGACGCTCTCGCCCTCCCTGATCAGGAACTGCGCCTCCTTCACGTCGCTGATCCTCCGGCGAGGAGGAGGAGGGAGGAGGAGGAGGAGGAGGGGGAGGAGGAGGGGAGGAGGAGAGGAGGAGGAGGAGAGGGAGGGAGGAGGAGGAGAGGGAGGAGGAGGAGGAGGAGGGGAGGAGGAGAGGAGGAGGAGAAGGAGGAGGAGCAGGAGGAGGAGGAGCAGGAGGAGGAGGAGGAGGAGAAGGAGGAGGAAGAGGAGGAGGAGGAAGGGGCGACCCTCCTCTTCCCAGACTGTTTCCGTCGGCGGCGAGGCGGGACGATCCTCTCCAGCGCGGCAGCGATGCAGGGGCACTACAAAGCGAATTGGCCGGCATGCAGGAGGAGGGAAAGGGAAAGAAAGGACGGCCGCGGGGAAGGAGGGAAGGGCGAGCACTCAGAGGCGGAAGACTTCCGCCGTGAGCAGCCGGGGTGGCCCGCGGGCGGTGAGGATAACTCCTCTTCCCAAACATGCTCGCGTCGATAAAAAGTAAGACGGAGATTGTAGGTCGTTTTTTGGTCTCTGGAGGCCCTCGCCGGGCCCCGGGGCCGTCAAAAAATGTCTCTGGATGAAAGACCGGCCGTAGGAAACGGGTCTGGACTTCCGGAGACGCCGTCGCGAAAAAATCAGGACGTCGCATGACTGGGTTCGTGGCGGCGCGCACAAGGGGGTGAGGAGTGGGCGGGGCAGGCTCCTGATAAGGAGGCTGCTTCACTGAAGGCGCCAGCCCGGCATCTGTAGGCCAGGCCCGCGCCTTCTGCGAAGCAGGGGGTGCTTCTAAGAAGCCCTCCCCCCTTCCCCTACCCACCTTCTGCGCGTAGCTGACCTCTTCTGTGGCCACTCACGGTAGCATCCCATGCCATCTTGTTGACCCTTGCGAATCGACGCTGGTCGACGCTAAATCGACTCTGATCGACGCTAAATCGGCGCGCTTTCACCGATTACCAGACGCTAGTCGACGCTAATGCGCTCTAGAGACGAAGTTGCGAGGATATGCACGGCTCCGACGATTTGCTAGCGAACCCCTCCTCCCCAGAATCCCCCATCGCGTCAAAGAGAAAACTCCATGGAAAGCTTGTGGGCAATGTTCAACACCTGGGGGCCCCCGCCTGGCCCCGGGGCCATCAACAACGGCTCGGATGACAAGCAGGTCCCTCGGAAGGGGTTCAGACCTGCGGGGTTAGGCGTTGCGAGGACAAACATGACGTCGGGGGCCTGGGAGAGCAGCCCCTTTTTCACACGTTAGGCTTTGTCCTTGGGGTTCTTACTCTGGGGGCTCTTACTTGTTTGTGAAGAGCCGGTGTGCGCGGTCGCCGGTTTGCGCCAGAGCTCCCCAGAGCTCCTTGGTCAAGGGGGGGCCCTGGGATTCCTTGGTCTTAAGTTCTTACTCAGCTTTGCACAGGTTCCTTGAAGAGGCCTTTCTCGGGTTGCCCTGGTTCCTTGAACTTGTTCCCTTACTGTTTTTGAAGAGGCCTTCATCGGGTGCCCCAGGTTCATTAGTGTTGTTTCCTTCCTGTTTTTTTCAGGAGGCCTTCCTCGAGTTTCCCGGGTTACGCGGTACTGCTTCTGCCGAGCACTGCAAATCACTGCAAAGCAAAACCAAGCAGCGCTGCCAAGCAACGCAAAGGAATGCAAAACAAGGCAAAGCAATGCAAAGCAATGCTGTGCCAAGCAAGGCAATGCAATGCCGCAGTGCCAAGCAACGCCGATCACTGCCAAGAAATGCCGCTAAAGAAGCGCTCCCAGGACTCATTGGGGTCGCGCCAGGTTCATTTTAGGGTCGCGGAGGCGTGGGGGCAGGCCGCGGCCAGCCGAGAAGGGCAGCTCGACTCAGAGGCAGTCGGCACCGGGGATGACAGCAAACGAGGCCGCTGAGGGAGACGGAATGCGATCCCCCCGCGAGGGCCCCTGCTGTGCACGCTACCCCCCTGCCAGGGCCTCGTCGGTGCACGCTATCCCCAAAGTGGGGGATAGCGGGATAGCGTTAGCTCGGGCACGTCCCCCTGCAGGCGGATTTTGGGCGAACACTAAAACCTACCCCAACAAAAACCCAGAGGTAGCCAAGAACAGTAAACAAAAAAAAGTCCCCAGACGATTTTTTGACCATTGTTGAATCTTCCTCCTTCAGGGGGACAGGCCCGACTGGGAGGATGGGGTTGGGAGGATGGGGTTGGGAGGATGAAGGGTGGGAGCAGTGGCATCCTGCTGCCATGAACGATAGAGCCTACCCCCCAGCTGGGGGACAGCGTGCGCTGCGCGGGCCGGCGGCGCCAAAGACCCCCCGCCGCCTCCCCGCCCGCCCAGCCGCACACCGCTGCGAGAGGGAGCGCCCCCGCGCGGACGCGAGGCCGCACTCCCTCGGGGTGGTGGTGGCGGTGGCGCGCGGCGACCCTCGGGCCCTCGATGGAGAGCGGTGCTTGGCAGCGCGCACCAGGGGGGGGAGGGAGGGGGGAGGGCGTCTTAGAGGGAGGCTGCTTCTTAGGAGGCGCTGGACTTACATCTGCACGTCGGTCGGAAGAGGTAGGTAAAAGCATGAAGCAGGAAGGCGGATAAAGTGGATTGGGTCCAGGCCCTCCCAGAGAATAACAAAACAGAGCAACAGCAAGCCGATTCTTGAAGTGGGAAGGCGCTTGAAGTAGATTGGGCTTCTCAGAAGGAGGCTGCTCCTCAGAAGGCGCTGGCCCTGAATCTACAGAGAAGGCCCGCGCCTTTCTGAGAAGCGGGGGTGCTTCTAAGAAGCCCTCCCCCCTCCCCCCTCCCCCTCTGCGCGTGGCTGAGGTGCGCGCGCGCGGGAGAGATGGCGAGGGAAGGGACAGGTGACCCTTCGGTTGCACGCACCCTGAGATCCTAGACTGGCGACTCGATTTTTCGAGTCGGGCGATTTTTCCTTTTTTCGGGTCCTGGGACCCTCGCAGATCGATTCGGCTCGAAGAATGACGCAGAAAGGGGGGGTCCGGGGCTCCGGGGGGCGGATTTTCACGCTGATGCAACTTTTTCGCTGCGTCGGATCTCAGGGTCGTTCATTGCATCAGGATGCTATTGCTCATATGCCCTTCATCCTCCCAACCCCATCCTCCCAACACGGTAGTTTTCCCAACAGCTTGCACCGACGAGGCCCTAGCAGGGGCGGCTTCACGTGGCAGGGACCCTATAGGTGACAGCGGCCTGCGGTGCGCGACTTCCCAGGGCCGCCGGGAGGCCAGACCCGAGCGCGCCCCATCCTCCCAACACGGTAATTTTCCCAACAGCTTGCACCGACGAGGCCCTAGCAGGGGCGGCTTCTCGCGGCAGGGACCCTATATAGGTGACAGCGGCCTGCGGTGCGCGACGTCCCGGGGCCGCCGGGGGGCCAGACCCGAGCGCGCAGGGCGCGGCCACCGCTGTTGTGCCCGAAGCATCCGAGGACCCCGGCGTGCCCGCGCCAAGGGCGCGACTCCGGCGAGAGGTCCCTCGCACGTGTAGAAGAGGGGCCCGACCACGAGACACCTTCCAGCACAAGAAACCCCACCCTGAGACCCCAGGACGCCCATCGGCTCTGGGTGCGGGAACCTCAGGCTCTCCGTGGCAAGACCGTCGGAACCCAGGACGCCCAGGGTACCCTGGAGGCAAGCAGGGCGCCTCTTGGCATGGGCCCCCACTGCATCCACCACCGCCGGGCACTTGGAGGCGTGGCAGTGCTGCCTTGTCCGTGGCAAGAAGCCACCGGAACCCGAGAAACCCAGGGCACACTGGAGGCAAGCAGGGTGCTTCTTCCTTGAGATCCGACGTAACGAACAAAAAATATAACATCGTGAAAATCCGAGCGCCTAGAGCCCCGGACCCCATCTTTCTGCGCCACTTTTCGGGCCGGATCGATCTGTGAGGGCCCCGGGGCCCGAAAAAGGCGACAACGCCCGGCTCGACAAAAATCGAGTCGCCAGGATCTCAGGGTTGTCAGGGGCCCCCGCTGCAGCCGAGCCCCTCCCCCGCGCACGCCCGCCCTCCCGAGCGCCACCAGGGCGCGGGCTGCGCAGCCTCCCCCCCGGGGGCTCGCGGAAAAGGTGCGCTGGCCGGCGCCGCGGCGCGCGCAGGGGCGCGCGGCGGCCCGAAGAGGAGCGCCGCCGCCTCGCGGAGGGCTCTGCGCCGCGGTGTGGCACGGGGCGGTGCGTGGCGCGGGGCGCGCGGGAGGCCGCGGGGGCACGCTGCAAGGTCGCCCTCCGTCCAAGAGGGAGAGAGGGCGAGGGAGAGGGACCCTGAGATCCTGGCGGCTCCATTTTTTGTCGAGCCGGGCGTTGTCGCCTTTTTTCGGGTCCCGGGGCCTTGGCAGATCGATCCGGCTCGAAAAATGACGCCGAGAGATGGGGTCCGGGGCTCTGGGCGCGGATTTTCACGATGATGCAATTTTTTCGCTACGTCGGATCTCAGGGGATGGAGAGGGGAGCGAGGGGGGAGGGGGGGGGGGGGCAGGTCAGCGAGGTAGGGGGGGGGAGGGGGGAGGGCGGGGGAGGAGGAGGGCGCGACGGCTCGAGCAGGCCAGCGCCTGTCCAACGTAGAGAAGGGGGGGGGAGGAGCGAGGGAGGGCGGGTGCAGGGGAGGGGGAAGACAGGGCCAGGGGCAGGGGCGGAGGGCAAGCCCGGGGAGAGCGGCAAGCCGGGTGCGCTCGCGTCAGATCTGACGTCCTGCCCCTCCCTCCCATCCCCTTACCGTGGCGTAGATCTCCTTTCCATTCGCAGAGTCGGCTGTCGCAGCAGGGCACAGCATTACATGGCACAGCATGGCGTTGAAGATCAACGCGCAGCCTGACGCCCCAAAGTGGGGGGGGCTTCCGAGGTCCAAGAATCATGTAATCACTTCCGATGGTTGCTTCGGGGGGGCATTTTCCAGTTTGGGGGCCCTATTTGGAAAGACCGAAAACCATGCCGTGGCATGGCGCTGAAAATAATGACGCCAACGCTGCAGCGGGAGCACTATTCGGAACGAGCGGAAGCGCGGAAATAAAGCCAGCGCTGCAGCGGGAGCACGATTCGGAACGAGCGGAAGCGCGGAAATGAAGCCAGCGCTGCGGCGGGAGCACGATTCGGAACGAGCGTAAGCCCGAAAACGAGGCCAGCGCCTCAGCGAGAGCAGCACTTTGAAAGAAACAGCGAAAACCCAACTCACTGGCATCCTGTGGAAAAAACTATTCGCGAGGGGGGGCCGAACACTCCGAGACAGATTCCGCCACAGACTCAGGGGAAAGAAAAGCATAGTATATTGAGTAATTGTGGAGGGCGGAGAGGGGGTTGGAAAGGGAGGGGGAGAGGGAGGATAGGGGGAGCGGAACTTAAGGGGGAGGGGAGGGGAAAGGGAGGACAGCGAGATCGAGGGCCTCTCAGCCTGTGGCAGCTCTTCCTGCATGGCGCTGATCCGCCACGTTGCCTCTGGTGCGTAGTGGAGTGCAGTGTGGCCCCCCCCCTCCTCCGAAAAGAATAAAGAACATTACCAGGGTTCCCACGGGGGGGGCGAACTGCCACTCCCTATTGCCTTCACCCCTATTAGCACTGACTCCTTCTCTGCAACCCCGTGCCCCCGACGCCACATCTGAGCGAAGGGGCTCCCATCCGCCCCAAAACGCGCATCCACGTGGCCCCTTGATAACCTCTTGCAGCACGGACGTCCTGTCGCTGGCAGTGCAGGCTGGGCGGCGAGGACGGGACGCGGCGCGAGAGCGCGAAATGCCGCCCGCGCCGCGCGCGCTCGCGCCCCGCCCCCAGCGCGGCGCACCTGCCTCGCCCGCCGAGCTCGGTCGCCAGCGGGGCCGCGCCCGCGCAGCGCGAGAAACCGTCGCTCTGCCGCCCCGGCGCCGCGGGGGCACTTCGCCCCCGAAAGCGACTTCCCTCGGGGGCACTTCGCCCCCGAGGGAACGGAGGGAGAGGGGAGGAGGAGGAGGGAGGAGGAGGAGGAGGAGGAGAGGAGGAGGAGGAGGAGGAGGAGGAGGAGAGGAGGAGGAGGAGGAGGAGGAGGAGGAGGTGGAGGAGGAGGAGGATGGGAAGGAGGAGGGAGGATGGGGGGAGGAGAGGAGGAGCAGCAGGGTGGAGGAGGAGGAGGAGGAGGAGGAGGAGGAGGAGGAGACGAAAGAGAAGGGGGGAGACCTCCAGAGATCCCCCGAGGCCTCTGGAGCCTCAGGAAGGACCAAAGACGTCCAAAAGCAGTCTGGACAACGACTGCGTCGGCGACGGGGACGGCGGCGACGGCGAAGGCGACGACGGCGATGTCGGCAGCGGCGGCGGCGACGGCGACGACTGCGACGGCGGCGGCGGCGGCGGCGGCGGCAACGGCGGCGGCGGCGGCAGCGAATGGCCGGCGCGGCCGCCGTCCTGGCGACCTCCCCGAGGAGCTTGAAGTCCTGTCGGCTACACGCGAGGGGATGACCCTGGAGTGACCTCTGGTGCGCGGCGAGGCGGGGGACGCAGGGTGGCCAAGTTTGAGCGCGCAAACCGCTGCTGCCGCTTCGCGTTCAGCGACCGGGGGGGCCCCATTCGAGTAGGGAATCGACCATAGAATTCATTTACCCCAGAAGCCCCAGAATTGGTTTTTCCACCGAACCAACAAAACAAAACATAGAATTCTCCGTAGATATTCGGAGCATTCTACGCATCTGTCGCTGACTCGTCGGACAAAACATATTGTTTCGCACGCAGCCAGCTCGAAACTTTACCTATTGGTAAAGCGAGAGACCAGCAGGGTCGGCAGCCACGCTACCTAGACTGGCGTGGGCCATGTTCGGCACACACTGTCGGACAAAAATCAAGTCTGGAGTAAATCAACTCTGTAGTCCATCCTCCCCTCGACCCATTGGAGAGGCCTCCTAGTTGGGGTCCGAGTATGTGGGGTCGGAGGATCGCGTCGCATCGCCGATACATCGCGGCTGCATTGGCGATGCATCGGCGATGCACCGGCGATGCATTGGCGACGTCAACGCGAAGCAAAACGGGCTCCACCTCGAGCCGCATCGGCGATGCATCGGCGATGCGGCGCGATCCTCCGACCCCACCTACTACGATCCCATTTAGGAGGCCTAGAATTGGGCCCGCACCAACGGTCACTCCGGCTGAAGGTCACCCTTGCGTCTAGTCGACTCCTTTCGGCTAGACGTAAGAGTGACCCTGCGTAAGCGTGACCTTTGGTGCGCAGCTTTTGGGGGCGCGAGAGGGCCAAGCCCAAGGGCGCGGGCCGCTTATATTGCATTGCGCTCGGCGATCGGGGGGAGCCCGATGGGCCCGCTCCAAAGGTCACTCCAGCGAAAGGTCACCCTTGCTTTGGACGCCCGAAACGGGCACGGAAAGAATGGGTACAATGCCCAACAACACACGTTGTCCCAAACCAACAGCGGCCACTGTTGGGCAGGCGGCCTTCTGTCTCAAATGGACACAGGCCGCGGCGACACCAACAGCGAGTCCTGCTCAGAATGAACAGGAACTGCTGTTGGGCATTCTACCCATCCTTTCCGTACCCATTTCGTTCGTGCCGACTTGCATCCAGTCGACTCCTTGCCCTGGTCGGCGCCAGCGCGCACCGCCACGACCAGGCGACCTCCAGCACCTGCGGCGGCCGGGCACGGCGTCCCGGGGTGCCGGGGCGCGGGGGGCAGATGGGGAGCGGGAGGAGGGGAGGAGGGAGGGAGGGAGGGGGGCGAGGAGGAGGAAGAGGAGAGGGGGGAGGGGAGGGGGAGGAGGAGGAGGAGGAGGAGGAGAAGGGGAGGGAGAGGAAGAGAAGAAGGGGGAGGGAGGAGGAGGCGCAGGAGGAGGAGGAGGAGGAAGATCACAAGGCGCCGCGGATTAGGCTTGCTGCTCCCTGCTCCAATTCCAGTTTCTGGTCTCCGATGTTACAATTCTGTGCTGTGCTTCCTACTGTGAATTGTTGAAGTCCGCGCGAGGGGGGGGGGGGAGCCGAAAAGGGCCCTGGTTACCTGCACCTGGGGGGTTCTCAGAATTTCTGGGGGTCCTGGGACACGTACAAATACGTGAGGCTCGCGCCCCCGAAGCCATACTTCATCGTAAATGATACCATGTTCGCGCCCCCAATGCCATAATCCCTAGTACATTACACCAGATTCGCATCCCCTAGGCCATAAACCCTCACACATGACGCGGTGTTCGCGCTCCCAGGACCAGAATTCGTCGTAAGCTACTGAATGTTCTCCGAAGCAGTACTCTCTTATAAATTACACTATCTGCGCCCCCGAAGCCACGATCTCTCTTAAATTACGCGTTCTTCGCGTCCCCGAAGTCATAAACACTCGTGAGAGTGCGCAGACTTCGCGCTTTCGAAGCCACAATCCTTCATACAAAGGCCCCCAAGACGGTACAAGAGGCCTCCGAGACGGCCCAAGAGTGCTCCAAGGCGCCCAAGATGGTTCCAAGACGGCACTAAAAGCTCCGAAGGGGCCCCCAAGAGCGCTCCAAGAGCACCCCCAAGAGAGGGCCAAGAGGCCAACTGCGATGTTCCTTTGGTTTTCCATGGGTTTTGGCACGCTCATATCTTCAGCGGCCCCCGTTCGGAGTTACGACGCTGCTTCACGACGGCGCCCAGGCCTCACAACACAGCTCTTGCATTACCCATTATCCGAGAGAGGGGGCCGGCGGCAGGGGGCGAAGCCCTAACGGTATGTAGTTCCCTCTGCGAGAGGAGGAGGAGGAGGAGGAGGAGGAGGAGGAGGAGGAGGAGAGGAGGAGGAGGAGGCGGAGTAGGAGGAGGAGGAGGACAGGAAGTGGACTCCTACTCCTCCTGTTCCTGCTCCTGCTCCTCCTCTTCCTCCTCCTCCTACTCCGCCTCCTCCTCCTCCTCCTCCTCCGCCTCCTCTTCGCCTCCTCCCCCAGGTCGAAAATAGAGGGAGCCCTGGCCAGTCAGGAGGCCCGCAAGAGGTCCCCATAGGAAGCCCCGAGAAGCCCCCAAGATGCCCCCAAGAGGCCCCCAAGAGGCGTCCAAGAGGCCCCAAAATTCCTCCCCAGAGGCCCCCGAGAGCCTTCCGAAGAGACTCCAAGATGCATCCCTGAGGACTCAGGCCCACTTCAGCGTCGTCGTCGCCGCCGCCGCCGTCGTTGCTGTTCTCGTCGTCGTCGTCCTCCTCCTCCTCCTCCTCCTCCTCATCGTCGTCTCCTTCAGGGTCGCCGGCGCTGGCCGTAAGGCCCTCGCAATAGAGGAACTCTTGGAAATCTTGGATCGTACGTTTGACCTTCGAGATAGCGTGCAGCATCGATCTCCGAAAAGCACGCTCTCCCTGCGAGGCGATCCCCCCGCGGGGGCCCTTTTGTGCACGCTATCCCCCATGCGAGGGCTGCTCCGGCGCACGCTAGAGAGGTGGTGAGTGACGTAACCTGACTCTGGGTTGAACGCCACGAAGATTCATTCAGTGATGAGGTCGCTGAGGATCGGCTTCGAAATTCTCCTGAACAAGACGTATATCGAGGCGAACAGCCGCCACTTGCATCGCGGCTCGCCTCGACAAGGAAGGCGCCGCTGCTCGAATAATCCAATCCAGCGCACGCTATCCCCAAGGCTAGCGTGTGATACGTGGGCCTGCGGCGCCGCCTCGCACGCTGGCATTCCAACGCCAGCCGTAGGCGGAGCGCGGCAAACCCCAGCCAGCGCTTTTTGGCGTCGGCGGCTAGGCAAAGGGTGAGTGCGCTGGCGATGAGAGGCTTAAACGGGGATGCCGTTGGAGCGAATTGTGCCACCACGCAAGAGGAGGAGAAGGAGGAGGAGGAGGAGGAGGAGGGACGAGGAGGAGGGAGGAGGAGGAGGAGAAGGAGGAGAAGGAGGGGGAGGAGGAGGAGGGAGGAGGAGGAGGAAGGACGGAGCCGAAGACCCCAGCCAGCACCAAGCAAGCCCAGCACGGCACGGGCACACCAGTGCCGCCAGGTGTGGCTGCCCCTCCCAACGAGCCCTGAGATCCGACGTTGCGAAAAAAACTGCAACATCGCAGCATCATCCTCATCCTCATCCTCATCCTCATCCGCACCATCATCATCGTCATCATCAGCACCATCATTAACATCACTATCACCATCACCATCACCATCATCATCATCATCATCAGCATCATCAGCATCAGCATCACCATCATCCTCCTCATCATCCTTACCATCAACACCGTCATCATCATCATCATCATCATCATCATCATCATCATCATCAGCATCGTCATCATCATCATCATCAGCATCGTCATCATCAGCATCATCATCATCATCATCATCATCATCATCATCATCAGCATCGTCATCATCATCATCATCATCATCATCATCATCATCATGATCAGCATCATCAACATCACCATGATCAGCATCAGCAGCATCATCAGCATCATAATCAGCATCACAATTATCATCATAACCCCGATCCTCATCATCAGCATCATGATCATACTTAGAATCTATACTGATCATCACCATCACCATGACCACCCTCATCATTAGCATCATCACCATCATCGCTACTCCATCATCATGATCGTCATTATCACCATCGTCATCATCACTACTAGCATCCGAATTAGCATCACACTCATCAGCATCACCATCATCATCACAAGTATCAGCATCGTCCTCAGCATCATTACGACCACCCTCATCGTCACCACCACGACCACCCTCGTCGTCATCATTACCACTTTCATCCTCATCATCACCATCATAATGAGTCTAAGCACCAAGTCCCGGTTCCTCCTCCTCCTCCTCGTCATCATCATCATCAAACGTATCATCATCATCTTCACCATCACAACAACCATCAGCATCATCATCGTCATGTTCACCATGGTCATGATAATCATGATCAGCATCAGCAGCATCAACATCATCCTCATCATCATCAGCCTCAGCATCATCTGCATCAGTACGACCATCATCGTCATCATCATCACCATCAGCATCGTCATCATCTTAATAATTGTCGCTATCACCATCACCACCATCGTCACCATCACCATCACCATCACCACCACTATCACCATCACCATCACTATCACCACCACCTTCAACATCATCATCAACAGCATCATCCCCAATATCAGAATAATCACCCTCACCCCCCTCATCATCATCATCATCATCATCATCATCATCATCATCATCATCATCATCATCATCATCATCATCATCATCATCAGCACCAGCACCATCATCATCATCATCAACAACATCAGCATCATCGTCAGCATCAGAATCAGCATTCTCATCATGACCATCATCATCATCATCAGCATCATCATCATCGTCGTCATCACCAACATCATCATCAGCATCAGCATCATCATCATCAGCAACAGCAGCATCATACTCATCATAAGCATCATCATCATCATCATCATCATCATCATCCTCATAAGCATCATCATCCTCACCCCAATCATCAGAATCATCAGCATCATCAGCATCATCATCGGCATCATAATCGTCATCAACATCAGCATCATCATCAGCATCCTCATTATCATCATGATCATCATCAACAACATCATCATCACCACCATCATCGTCATCATCATCATCATCATCATCATTAGCATCAGAATCAGCATCAGCATCATCATCATCATCAGCCTCATCATCATCATCATCACCACCACCACCATCATCATCATCATCATCATCAGCATCATCATCATCAGCATCATCATCATCATCATCATCATCATCATCATCATCATCATCATCATCATCATCATCATCATCGTCATCATCATCATCATCGTCAACATCATC